TAAGTAATTATGCTAACATAAAGATAAAAATTACATTGTTGACATTATTTTCTTTCATAATAATAAGCAATATATTGCAGCACCTAATATAATATTTATAAATAAGTATGTAATACTTTTTAAATAAAATATTTTTATTTTGTTTAAAAGGTATTCTTCGTTCTTCTATTCATATTGCATTAAAAATATTTATTTTATAAATATATCATAATGTCCAAACGCAACAACGACATCTGTTACAATAAAAAAATCCTATAATTGCAAATAATTTTTCGATTATTTATGAGTAGTATGTGACTTTAAAAATTTTAAAATTTATAGTAGAAATTCACGAATAAAAGGCTTCTAATTTCTTTCATTCTTTTATATTTACTCGTATTTTTTAAATATAATATTTGTTATTCTTTACTATATTTTTAATTGTTTTACAATATTTGTAAATCGGTAACAATATTTTAAAAAATTTATCTCTCAAAGAAATTATACAAATAAATATAATTGTGAAAAAACACTGCATTTGTTGCTATTTGCTTTCAGGGTAAATTAATCGCCAATGCAACATACGAAACGCTGTGGTATGAAATGCCGTCACGTCAGATCAAAATAATAGTATTTATAATAATGAGATCTCAGAAGCAGCTGGCGATCACGGCGGGGAAAATGATGGATATGTCATTCGAAAGTTTTGCAAGTGTAATCTTTGAAATATTTCATCTTTTACGTATTTAATTTTTAAGAAATATTTTTATTTGTTTGACAATCAATTTGTTACATGTGTTCTTTATGCCTAAACATAATTTACAGATCAAACTTAATTTCTGTTCTTTAGATCATTAAGGCGTCAATATCATATATATCTGTCCTGAATGCTGTATATTGACATGGATAGAAATGATATACATTTGCTTAAATATAGTTAATGTAAGCTGATAAGTAATAAAATGTTGACAATGAATTCAGAGTTAAATTGTTATTAATATGTCAATAGTCGTTATTCATTAATGATTGGTCAAGAAATTCCACAAATAAATTTTGTATTTAATATAATAAGAATATTTCTGCGGAGTACAATGAGTTTTCGAGCATTGTCTTTGCATTAGGAAATTACACATATTCGGTCTTACCAAGTATATTGTATATAAATTAGTTTTTCGAGAAAAATGTTTCAATATCTTGGAATACATAAAATATCTTTTTCTATAAAAATTTAATAAATTTTTTAAATTGTATAAGTGTTTCTTATTCCAAAAAATACACTGGTCAAAAATATTAACGCAACAAGAAATTTACATCAAAATTTGGCGAATTTCAAATAAGCGTAACTTCGCGAAAACTGGTCGAATTGAAAAGTTTTTTTTTCATTTTATAGGGCAAAGCCTCTGCTTTAAGAAGCTCTTATTGGAATTTGCATTCACTCTTCCCATTTCCCGGAACTTTCTCAAAATCATGACCATGATTTTACTTTAAAAAATTGCACACTTTGACGCACTGTGCGGAGTGTAGTAATTTTTCTTCGCCACAAAAAAGCTGATGTGCAGCAAACTGTCTTTTTCTTCTACTTTAGTTACACATTATCGTTGCATTTCCCGATCGAAGCATACAATGTAAGATCGTTCATGGAATTGTGGTATATTCAAATAATGAGTTCTGTCTCAACTTGTCATAGTACTCCGTCATTGTACGTATAATAGCAATTGAT